CTGATAATAATGAAGCCAATCTCGCACTTTATTTTTTAGTTTTTCAAAACTCTGCAATTTCAGTTTATTTCCCTCTTGTTCCAGAATTTCCCAATATTTCGGCCATTTGGCCTCCATATTGAGCTTTTTCAGAGCCTTCGCTTCCATCGGTGACAGCCATCTTGGAGTTTTATTTTCAAGTAGATCCTTATATCTTATCCAAACATTAAACAATGCTTTCCTGACAATATGGTTTTTAAATGCTTTATGTGCTTTAACCTTATCATACCACAAGTATGCATGCCACCCAAATACATTGTTAAAACCTTCTAAGTCCAAAATGTCTGCGTTTTCCAGAAGCAGCCATTCTTTCAACCAGCAAAAAGCTGCTGATTCATAATAAAGTTTAAGGTCTGGCAGGGCAAATCCACCTCTTTCTTTTGCATCCGTTAGTATTTTGAATTTTATTCTAGGCTTCTTGCCCTGCCAGACAAATCTAGAAATGTCTCTCTGCCACTTCTTGAAACAGTCCATTTTGTCCAAAATTTGCAATGTTTGAAACAGAAACAGCATTCTAGGCAATACATTCATTTTTATAGCAGCGATACGGCCTAGCAGTGAAAGCTTTAAATTTGACCAGATTTCTAAGTCTTTTTTCACTTCAGTCCAACATTTCTCATAATTGTCTTTAAATAGATTCCCATTTTTAGCTGTCATGTTAATCCCCAGGTATTTCCCTTTCTTAACCACTGTTAAACCTGTCTCATTCTGAAAACTCTCTTTCTCCATCACAGTTTTTCTCTAAAACCTTAGTTTTTAACTTATTCAGTTTAAATCCTGCAACCTGACCAAATTCTTGAATCAGTTCCAAAACCCTTTTAGTACTAGATTCTGGCTCCTGTAACGTCAATACTAAGTCATCTGCAAATGCTCTCAACTTGTACTGTTTAGCTCCGACTTGTATACCTTTAACCAACTGGTCCCTTCTAATCATATTCAGCAGAACCTCCAGGACCGATATAAAAAGCAGTGGGGAGATTGGGCAACCTTGTCGTGTCCCTTTTTCTATCTTAAATTCTTCCATCCTTTACAATTAATTTAGCCTTTTGTTCTGAATAAATTGCACGTATACCGTTTTCAGAACCTTGGCCTACCCCCATCCCCTGTAGGTTCTTCTTCATAAAACTCCAAGAAATGTTGTCAAAAGCTTTCTCCGCGTCCACAAATATCAAAACTGCCTTAGTGTTTATGTTCACTTGTAATTTTTCTAAAATATTAATTATGTTTCTCACATTATCAGACAGATGTCTACCCGGGAGAAAGCCTGCTTGGTCTTTATGTATCTCTTCCACTAGCACTCTTTTTAGTCTTTTAGCCAAAATGTCTGCAAAGATTTTGTAATCCACATTGAGCAATGATATGGTGCGGTAGTTCTTAAGCTGAGTCTTTTCAGTCTCTGTTTTCGGTACAAGTGTAATATACGCTTCTTTCCACGACTCTGGTGCCCTTTTTCCTCCCATTATTTCGTTACAGACTTCTTTTAAAGGTTGTACTAGCCATTCTTTTAAAGATCTGTAGTATCTAGAAGTCAATCCATCCGGTCCTGGAGATTTACCTAGTTGCATATTCTGAATGGCACCTTCTACCTCCTGTTCAGTTATTTTATAGTTCAACATTAATTTATTTTCTTGAGAAATTTTTTGTAATCCATTTGTTTTCAAAAATCGGTCTACGTCAATTTCTTTCTGTGGCCCTTGTGTATATAATTGTTTAAAGTACCTCTGGAAACAGTTTCTAATCTCAACTGGGTTCTGTATATTCCTTCCTTCCACTTCTAAATTTGTAACAGTATTTAATTTTTGTCTTTTTTTCATTTGCCAAGCTAATAATTTCCCACATTTATTAGCCGACTCAAATGTCTTTTGTCTCATTTGTTTAATTTTCCATTCTATCTCCTGATTCATCATTTTCATGTATTGTACTTGATATAATTTTATTTCTCTCAAGATCTCTTGCGACTTTGGTTTTGCTCTCAATTTCTTTTCACTTTCCTTTATTTTCTCCAATATTTTATCCTTCTTTTCATTTTGGATTCTCTTCTTTAATGCATTCTGTTGTATCAAGAACCCTCTCATACATTATATTACATTCTCATTTTAAATAATTGTGATAAAAATGCACTCTGCCTTGATGCTGATGGCTTCTTAAAGGCTTAACAATTATACAGAAATGCTGCAAATGATCTCATGTTCTCAGAAGGTGGCATACGTGACAAGATAAAAGACAATGTATAGGGAAGGAAAATGCCAGGCAAGCAAGAACCTCAGATTTTGAGAACTTCAAAGGAACTTGGTAGGGATACTATAGGGATACAGCTAGACTTCCCCAAACCACACATAAATGAGACCTTGCCTCTATTATTAATGTTGGTATCATCTCTCCATGGTTCTCCTACTTCTAGACAAAACAAAAATATAAGAAGAGAGGTAATGAGTGTCCTCTTCTAGAGCCTCTCCTTTGGGAGTTTTTCTCTCACCTATTCAGCTTTTGACTCTTTTGTTGGAGCCAAACAAACATGGCAAAAATGGGCTTAACTTAGAACATTTTCTGAAGTCTGGACTTAGACTTTTTGACTCTTCCTCACTTCTGAATTTAGCCTCATTTCTGCTTTGGAGGGAAAAAAGAATTTCTGAACATATAAGACATAGAACAATTCTGGAACATAGAGCAAATCACTCTATTGATTTGTCTCAATTCAATTCACTGGAAGTTGTTGGCTCTTTCACATTTTTTAACTCAAAGTAAATTTGATAACAATTTCCAAGCCCTTTTCATTTTTAAAATTACTTTTCAACATTTTTATACTTTTAGGTGCTCATTAGCATTTTACAACTTTTTATGTCCTGTTAGATTTGAACTTCATTTCAGTGAACGCCCCCCTTTAAAAAAAAAGTTCTGAAGTCCATTTTAGCTAATTTATATTGCCTTGGCTTTCGTGTCTAAGGGCCCCATTTAACTTTATTTTTTAAGTGTCTAGAAAATTTAGCAATGCTTCAAATTGGTTTCAAAAATTCAAGTAATGTGCAGGAGGGGAATTAAATGGAGGAAGGGTTATTTATTGCATTTCAGCAGTTGGGATCAAGTAGAGTACAGGAGGATATGAGAGGAGGTCATATCATTTAACCAAGTGCTAAATGCTAGTGGTTCAATTAGCCATTTTGCTTGCCACTTTGGCGATGCCTGCTTTGTCAAGTGCCTGTCTTTTTATCTCAAGTTTTGAGTTTCTCATCTCACTGCTGCCAATGCAATCATGTCGGCTTTTCCATATACTCAGTGTAAAGCTGTAATTTACTATAATCATTATATCCATTCTACTTGTAGGGAAAATTATTAGCTCGGGTTACCACCAAGCAAACTCTTGAATTTTGCATTCTTAAATAAAATGTTAACGCATTCCAGTAAAATTCTGTGTTCGTGATGGCGGTGTTGTCTCTAGTTAGACCAGACTTCTCTTCTTACATTCGATTGACTAGAACTGGGGATTGATTTGTTTGTTGAACAAAGAAATTCTAAAAGAAAGGATGTAAGCCTTCTGTGATGATTCCTTTGGTGGGGTGATATTAAGTAGTATAAAGAGATGGATTATGGGACGCGGGTGGCGCTGTGGGTAAAACCTCAGCGCCAAGGACTTGCCGATCGCATGGTCGGCGGTTCGAATCCCCGCGGCGGGGTGCGCTCCCGTCGTTCGGTCCCAGCGCCTGCCAACCTAGCAGTTCGAAAGCATCCCCGGGTGCAAGTAGATAAATAGGGACCGCTTACCAGCGGGAAGGTAAACGGCGTTCCGTGTGCTGCGCTGGCTCACCAGATGCAGCTTGTCACGCTGGCCACGTGACCCGGAAGTGTCTGCGGACAGCGCTGGCTCCCGGCTTATAGAGTGAGATGAGCACACAATCCTAGAGTCTGTCAAGACTGGCCCGTACGGGCAGGGGTACCTTTACCTTTACCTAGAGATGGATTATAATAAACACAAAACGTTGGATTGTGACAGTCTAAGCTTTATATGCTCTAGAATGTTTTTAATTGCTTAAATGATTCTGTGTGAAACCTTACAAACAAAAAAACAAACCAACCAACCAACCAACCAAACAAACAAAAAAGACATATTCAGGTATTCTGATCTAGAATTAAATTAATTCTACATTAGCACACAAACACAGAAGCTCCTCCCCATTCTTGTAGAACAAGCAGCTTACTGTAAACATGGAAGGTTCTTCCACGTTTTAGAATCCTGGAAAATCTGTGTTTGTAATCCCACCTCATAAATTCATTATCTACCTCATGAAGGGTGATGGGATGGCAAAGGTAGTATGTTTCTCTCCTTTCCTAGCCCCCTTTGTATTTTAAGTTAATGCCTAAATAGAACACATGAAGATGCAAGAAACAAGCTGCAAAATGACACTCCTAGAAACATATTGATTATGCACTTTTATAATACACAATTTATAAAGGTTCTGGGAAGCATGTGGTGTCTCTTCCATCGTTTATGTTTCGGCTGAGAAACTTGGTAATTGGAAGTTAATCAGTGAATATATCCTGTTATTGAGAGATGCTAACACAGTCTCTGTGTGTATAGAATATACCCCATCTCTCATCTCTTTTCCACATTGGCCACTGAACAGATATGATTATGAAAGTCAGCCCAAGGTTGGGTATATATGAATCTAGGGTCATTTAATTTTGCATTTTTTTACTGCCAATTACCAATTAGAAGCTAAAAATGTTCACTGCTCATGGTGTCATGGTAGAGTAAACTTGTTGATTATTATTTTTAAAGCAGCAAAAGATTAATTTTTATAATGTAAAAGTAGTTGATACTATTTATTTTTGTTATTGGACTTGACAAAAGATCAATAATTTGCTTATTAAGTTTCATTTATTTGTTTTCTGACTATATATCACCACAATAATCCCATGATGAAATGCGAACTTTCACTGTAGCAGTTTTCTTTAGTAAGTGCTGGACCCACAGATAGCTGAGTCGGTAGAGCATGAGACTCTTACTCTTAGGGTTCAAGCCCAACGTTTGGGCAAAATATCCCTCCTGCGTTGCATGGGGTTAGATTCAAGGTCCCTTCCAACTCTACAATTATATGATTCAATGTGAGGCCTGCCTTTCCAGGAATGAAAGAATTTCCCATTTTTCCCATTGATGAAAGGTGCTTAACAAAAAAAGGTGTTTTTTAAAAAATAAACAAATTCTTGAAAAAGATTATTCAAAAATCTCTTCCCCAAAAAATCAAGTCCTTAAAAAAAAATTCACTAAAAAAGTCCTTAAAATAATCCTTCCTAAAATTGTCCAATAGCACCTTGAAGACCAACTAAATTTGTTATGGTATGAGCTTTGGTATGCATGCACTCTTCTTCAGATACCTGATTATGAATGTTTTGGACTGTTGGTAGATCTCTGTCCTCTATAAAACTGTTATATTCCCTATTAAAACTATCTAAGTCTGTGTACATATCATATTTTAAAGCACACACTCTCCAAGAATTTTGGGAGCTGTAGCTTACCCCAAAAGAGCTATAACTCCCAGCACCCTTAACAAACGACAGCTTCCTGGGTGCTGCTCTTTCTAGGTGCTTTAAATGTATGGTGTGCACTCAGCCTAAATCTAGACTCCACTTTCTTGAACCTTTTTTTTGGGGGGGGGGGGAGTGGAGAAGGTTCCCTCACTCCAGTTTCCTTCCAAATATTAGAATGCATATTTTCCCCCCTTAATTTTAGAACAGTTTCCTCCAGTGGTGGCTGCTGTGGGGTTTGTGTTTCCGCATTAATATTGCATTGACCGCTCTGTAGACATGGGTGTTTGAACAAGCTGGGCTCTCCCCTTCTTGCAAAGCATCTGCAAGCAAGCAAGGATGCATAGCTAGCATTGTTCCAGGGCTTAATTGCATTAAAAAGGCTGATCTGCCAGAGAAATCAGTGCTCATATCCCCGGTGGGCGTATTGGTAAAAAAGCTTCTCAACTATTGTGTTCCCTGCCCCCCAAAAAGCTCAAAAACTCTGTGCAACCTTTCCTTAAAAAAGCTCAACAACTTTGGGGTACCCTCTGTAAAAAACAATATCAGTGAGGGGGGTGCCATAAAAAAATTCAGCACTGGGTACCACCTGACCTTCCTACGCATCTGGGGGCGCCCCAGTGAGTGGGGGAGCTGTGTGGCTTTGCCGGCGGCCTCCCCTTTCCCTGCACGTCCGCCAGCTGTGCCCCATCAATCATATGGCTGGCGGGCGTGCAGCTTCCTTCCCAGGCCTCCGCAGAAGGAGAGCGATCCCTGCAGAGGCTTGGGGAAATCTCGACAACTCTGGGAAAGGGGGAGGGGGGGCGCCGGAGCGATCTTTGCACCACGGTGCCAGATATGCTTAAGACGGCCCTGTGGGGCCTGGTTCACCTCAGGCACCAAAATGTCTGGGGCCAGCCCTGCTTAACTGTCATGGGTCCCCCAAAGATTTCTAGGAACTATAGTTTTTAAAGGTGCTGAGAGATATTATGAGACCTCTATTCCCTTCACAGAGCTACAACTCTCAGAGTGGCTTAGCAATCAAGTCCTCTTTCCAGGGGACTCTGGGAATTTTAGCTCTGTGAGTGGAATGGGGGAACTCAGTGTCAGTTCCCCCTCTCATAATTGCCAGCATGGAGGCCCTAATCTGGATCACCCTCCTGCAGTTTGTATTGAGGGGAAATGTTGCATTTAGCTAAACTGGCCTTTTTTGCATGAAGGTTGCATGAGTATCAAGACCACAGTGAAATGGTGGGTGAGTAAGGGTTAAAAAAAGCCTTCACTGGCAATTAGAAAAGAAAAAAGCAACATCCCTATGCCTGAAGGCAGAACTACACAGTTAAGATGATATGCTGTTCTACTTTGTATGCATAATTTTTATTAATTTGCATAATGCAAAATACAAAAACAAAATATAAAAGTTCGATTCTCATTTTCACAGGTTTTTAAGTATGGCTTCCTTCAACCTTTCCACAAATCATCCGTAATAATCTTTTATAAAAATTCGCATTTCTTAGTTTGAAATGCCATTAATCATTCTAGTTCTTCCATTTCTCTTTAGACAATACTCTTTTCTTTTTACAGAGCTCCTTTAAAGCCCACTAGTGTTATCTGTCCATCACTTAAATTTTCCAGATATTTCGTAAAACTTTCCCAATCCTTAATGAACCTCTGGTCTTTTAAATATCTAATTTTCCCTGTCATCTTATCCATTTCCGCATAATCTAATAGTTTTGCTCTCCATTCCTCAATTGTCGGTAGGCCCTCTGATTTCCAATTTTGAGCTAATAAGACTCTTGCTGCCGTTGTTGCATACTGGAACAGCTTGTGATCTTTCTTTTTATCTCCCTTCCTACCAATCCCAACAGAAAAGCCTCGGGTTTTTTAACAAAAGTATATCTTAAAATTTTCTTCATTTCGTTATATACACTCTCCCAGAACCCTTTAACCTTTTGGCATTCCCACCACATATGGTAGAAGGTCCCCCCCCTTTCCTTGCACTTCCAGCATTTATTACAAGTTCCATACATTTTGGCTAATTTTGCAGGAGTCATATACCATCGGTAAAACATTTTCATTAAATTCTCCTTTAGTGTCACGCAAGCTGTAAACTTGAGATGTTTTTTCCAAAGTTTCTCCCATTCTTCAAAATATATATTATGACCGATATCTCTAGCCCAATATATCATTACCGACTTTACTTCCTCGTCTATTAAATTCCATTCCAATAACTGATTATACATTTTAGACAAAATTTTATAGTTGTTATTCAATATCTCAATCTGGAATCTAGAATCTTTATCAGCATATCCTTTGTCTTTAATATCTTTCCTGAACATTCCGTTTATCTGGAAATAGTGCAGCCAATCATAGACTTTCTCTTTGACCTGTTCGTACGGCTTCATTTTCCACTTTCCTTCTTCTTTCATTAACAGTTGTTCATAGGTAGCCCAATTGTCCCTCATATTAATCTTTTTAACGCTCATGACTTCTAGTGGCGATAGCCAATGGGGTGTTTTAGGTTCTAACATATCTCTGTTCCTCTCCCATACCTCAATCAATGGACCTCTGAAAATATGATTTTCGAAGCCCCTGTGTACTTTTCTCCTCCCATGCCATAGATAGGCGTGCCACCCAAATCTGTTGTTAAATCCCTCTAGGTCTAGCACTTCCTTATCTTCCAGTTTTATCCATGTTTTGACCCAGCATAGGCATGACGCCTCATAGTACAATTTCAAATCTGGCAGGGCAAAGCCCCCCCTTTCCTTCACATCTGTCAACAGTTTAAATTTTATTCTTGGTTTCTTGCCCTGCCAGACGAATTTTGAGATCACCCTCTGCCAGTCTTTAAATATCTTTATACCCTTAATTACAGGAATGTTCTGAAACAAAAACAACACTTTTGGAAGCACACACATCTTGATTGTGGCTATTCTGCCCCAAAATGACAGTTTTAGCTTGCCCCATGTTTCAATATCTTTCTTAACTCCTTTCCATACTGTCTCGTAATTATTTTTGAATAAGTCTATGTTTTTGGCGTTACCCATATTCCTAAATATTTCACCTTTCTGGCCACCTCTATTTCCGTTTCTCTTTGTAATTCTTCAGTTTTATCTGTATTCATATTCTTTACTATCATTTTTGTTTTCCTTTTATTTAATTTGAAGCCAGCCACTTTTCCGAATTGGTCAAATTCTTCGAGTACCTCTTTTATTGAATCTATTGGATCCTCCATTATTACAACCAGATCGTCTGCGAATGCCTTAATTTTGTATTCATTCTGCCCAACTGTTACTCCTTTTATCCCCTTATTTTCTCTTATTGAATTTAGGAGGACTTCTAACACCATTATAAATAACAATGGGGACAGTGGACATCCCTGTCTTGTTCCTTTTGCTATTCTTATTTCTGCTGTCTCCACATTGTTTATTATCAGTTTTGCCTTTTGTTCCGTGTAGATTGCCTTTACCCCGTTATAGAATTCAGTGCCAACCTCCATATATTCCAATTGTTTCAGCAGGAAATCCCAGATTATGTTATCGAATGCTTTCTCTGCATCCACGAACAACAACAAACCTTGTTTATCACACCTGTCAGATAAATATTCTATAATATTTACTATGTTTCTTATGTTGTCCTTCATTTGCCTACCCGGCAAAAAGCCCGCTTGATCTTTGTGTATACTTTCTACCAATATATTTTTAGTCTCCTTGCCAGAATTCCCGCAAAAATCTTGTAATCTATGTTTAATAGGGAGATCGGTCTATAGTTTTTAATCTGTTGTAAATCTGAATCCTGTTTGGGGATTAGTGTGATTAGTGCCTCCTTCCATGTCTCTGGTATTTCTCTTTCTTTAAGGATATTATTCATTACTTCTTGCAATGGAGTCAGCAAGACTGACTCCATTTCTTTATAATAGCTACCAGTAAACCCATCTGGACCTGGGGCTTTCCTTTTTTAATTCCTTTATTGCTTCTTTGATTTCTTCACCTCAATTAGGGCACTCAATTTTCCTTTCTCCACTGTGGAAATCTTTTTATATTCTTACATTTTAGAAATCTTTCTATTTTTCTCAGATTATTCCTTTCACTGTTTTTAAAAAGTCCTCTGTAGAAATCCAAAAAGGCCTTCCTTATTTCCTTAGGATTATTTATCTCTTCCCCTCCACCTTGATTTTATTTATTGTGTTCTGTTCCTTCCTTTTTTTAAGCTGCCAAGCTAATAACTTTCCTGATTTATTAGCATATTCGAAGCTTCTCTGTCTTAATTTTTTGACTTTCCATTCTATTTCCCTATTTATCAACATTGCAAACTGAGATTGTAAAACTTTAATATTCTCTTTTATTCTCTTATTTTTGGGGTTTTTAGTTAATTTTTGTTCGTTGTCCATTATTTGCTGTAGAATTTCATTTTTCCCTTTTTCTCTCTTTTTATTCTTAATTGCACTCTGTTGAATGAAGAAACCCCTCATCACCGCCTTACCTGCATCCCACACCACCTTTGGTTTTGTATCATTACCTAAGTTATCCTC